TGTGTGTGTGTGTGTGTGTGTGTGTGTGTGTGTGGGGGTGGGGGGGGGGGGGGTGCAGCTTTAAGAGGCTTATTTGAGCATGAAGACACCACCCTAAAAGTTAAGATGAAAGCTCTGTTCTCCAACAACCATTACAGGTGCCCAGGTGGTGCCCCAGACCGCCTGTGGAAAAGTCATCAGAAAACGAAGGAAGACAGTGTGACAGACACTGGTCCCAGAAGGAGAGACGCACCTCCGAAGGGAGACAGTCTTACCGAGTTTCATGAGGGAGGCCAGCAGGACCCACAGCGAGATCTCGAAGGGGATTTTCACATGCGCGAAGTCGAAGGTCAGGACAGGAAAGATCTTCTTGGTCTTGTTGACTCCGTGCCCGTCGCCGTGCGAGTCATCCGGCCGCAACGTGACTCCGGTCCCGTGGCCGTTCCCCACCGACCGCCGGGTCTTTTCCGCGGCGCCCAGGGACAGCGCCATCGGCACAAGGAGCGCAAGCCCCAGGGCCAGCGCCAGCAGCAGCCCCCGACGGGTCCAACACGACATACTGGGGTACATCCGAGAAACCCAGCTAGTCAGCGATCGGGTTAAGTCTCATCCACTTAAACCAGAGCTACGCTTGTTTTATTTACTCTGCGCAAAGTGATGGATGCCGGTCCGGCGCGGGCTGAAGTAGGAGACCAAGGGGCTGGACGGGCAGCCCGGGATGGAGCCGAGGATCGGCTAGTGCGCCCGATGCTTTCGCGGGGAAGCGCAGCTCTGCACGCCTGCGGCCGACGCGGGGATCAGTGCGGAGGGACGCATCGCTGCCGAGCCGATCCGAGCCCGTCAGCACTCCGCCAGCTCCGCGCTCATCGCCGGGATGTCCCGCATGCCGTGTATCTTCCTCCTCTTCCTTCCCGCATGTACTCCTTTTTCGTGGGAGAGTGTATGTCTATCTCTTCCCCTCCGTCCCCTACTGCCGGTGTACGCCGATTCACCGCGTCTGCCACGCCGCGCACTTCACCCAGCGCTCTAAGTACAACCTCCGGGGAGACGCACATATCACACACCCTTTAGAGGGAGGGCAATTAAACGGAGGAGGGGTTGGGAATTTTCCGCACGCAGCGACATCTACTGGAGAGGAGGGTCAACGTTTGCGCCGTAACGTGGCATTCGGTAGCTCCTCATTTAAGCCTCATTTCGTGCGGCCGATCCCAGCAGTGACAGTCTGTTTACCGAACCCTGATACTAATCATAGCAACCAGGAGGCTGCTTATCTTCAGCATCGGGATTTAGGTGTGTTTCTATCCCCGACATGTACATACACATACAAAGATACAAACACCCAAGGAGGCAGTGTGTGTGTGTGTCTGTGGGTTTGCATAGATCACATTTGAGGACCAAATTGTCCCCAAAGTGTAGTAAAACCTGAAATTTCTCTACTTTTGTGGACATCTTTTGAGGTCCCCATTTGGATAACCTGAGTTTTATTTTTAAAAAATAAAAAAATCTGTGAATGCAATCAAAAAAGTGCCAAAAGTCTTGTATTTTGCTTGGTTGTTCATGGTTAAGGTTAGGGATGGGTAGAGGTTAAGGGTGTCGTGATTGTGATTAGAGTTTGTCCCATAGAAATGAATGGACGGTCCCCATTTAGATAGGAAGACCAACTTGTGTGTGTGTGTGTGTGTGTGTGTGTGTGTGTGTGTGTGAGCGGGTTTACCTATCCTTATGGGGACATAATGTCCCCATAACGTGATAAATATCTGTTTTTTTTCCCTTATGGGGACCGGTTTCCTGGTCCCCAGAAGGGAAAACTCTATTTTATAAAAATCGGTGACTGATATCAGCTCTGCCAATCCTTTATTTACTGGTGCCTAACCCAGGGGCTATTCTAGGGATTTGTTTAAGGTTGGAGGACATAAACGAAATGTAATTCAGTCAGACGAACCAACCTTATTATTAGCCAATGATATGTTTTGAACCGGTGAGTGACTCTGGAGGACAGTCATCTTTCAGCTGCCCCTGCGGCCTAGTTCTGTATGAGCTCCTGGCCTTAACATTTTCGTTTACCTGACCTATATTGTGTGAGTTTTCTCTCATGTTATGCTGCTTCAGCATTCCTAAAAGCTTTTTTTGCCAATAAAAAAAAAAAAGGTTTTTTTTAAGCGATCCAACGCTGAGGCGATTCTAGGGACTCTGGGGGCCCCTAGGCAAAAATACTCTATGGGGCCCTCCAACTCCCCCTCCCCCAACATGGTGAAATTTATTAGCATTATTTTCGCATGAAGTCTCAATGAATACTATCGACAAAGAAAATTTAATAAACACAAGTACTTTAATTTATCTTTTGTGAAAAACAGAATGCACAAATAAAGCAGACTTGTCATTGTAATCTACTACATAATTGGTCGGCCTTGGGAGGGGGGGGGGCCCTCCCAGCTCGGGACCCCGGACAATGGCCTGCCTGACCTGTCCTGTCGCTACGCCTCTATCTGTCTGCGCTCCTTACCCCTCCCAGTTTCTGTTGTGGAGTAAGAATGAGACGACTGTAAAACACACATTTCATTATGGTGACACCACAGACAGGCTTCTCTGTGCGGCTGTGGCGATCGCCGGTCTTTGGCAGAAGGAGCACAAACAGTAAACAAACCGTAGAAAAGTTTGAGAGTGGCTCAGCAGGTGATGCAGCTTGTGAGGGTCATGCGTAAGCGTATCTAATGAAATATTTACAAAAATCTCGTATCACACCAGCTTTTTATCGCGAAAATGTCCCGTAGACGGGGAGTTTTGACAGTGGCCCCAGAGATAACAGTAAACGTGATAACTGCAGACGTAACTTTCCCTTTGTCTGTTTTCAGTCTTTACTCATGTAAAATGGGAGCAACAGTAGCCATCTTGCCCAGGCTGGTGCTGTCTTGATGACATGGAATTTTTAAAATTATTTTTATATATATAATTTTTTATATTATATTGACATGTCCATGGGTGACATGGACATTTGGCATGTCAGTGTAGTGACTGCCAGTAATGCAGGGGTCTTTAGAAGTCACCATAGCTAGACTCCTACCTGGATGCAAAATGAGAACTAAGCCCACACCCTAACATCACCTCCATGCACTGACCCGGTGGCTTGTACTGCAGTTTTGAAGTTGTCTGACAGAATTCTTGAAATCTCAAATATATCAAGCCAGTCTATTTAAAATGGTCAAAGTGCACCTGAGTCACACAAAGCAGGAAGGATGTGTGTGATTTTTTTTCTCTTCTGATGGGAGAAAGCTCACAACATTAAACAAGCAACAATAAATATTAATCTGTCATCTGTCTTCATGAATATTACTGTTTCCCAGGCATATGTCACATTCCTTGTTTTTTTCTGAGCTGTCTAAATTTACTACACTGAAATATAAATAAAAACTGTTTTTTCACTTTTTCAAGTATGCATGTGTTTGCCATGGCAATGGCCCAGGTTTTAACTTGTGCTGTAAAGGTGTGTTTTTCATTACTGCTTTTCTTTTCACTTGTAGTTTTTTGCACTTCTTCCACTCGTGTCTGTATTCAAGCATATAAATCAATGCGCCTCCCTCTTTTGTTTTTGCTGTGGTTCAGGTCTCACTGGCAGCCCTCACTTTGCACACGGGAACAGCCCTGCAATGCTGTCAGCTGCTTGGGGACCCAAGACCACGCACGTGGCCACGGTTGGGTGAAAATAGACCAAATTACCCAGCATGCTCCAGTTAAGGCCACGTTGCACTTTCTTTAAAATTGCGTTGGAGTCATGCTTTTATGTATGCTGTGAGGTACCGCAAGGCATGTTTATTCATTATTGCTGTAAACTGGCAAGGTTCCTACTCTTGGTCCAGTTTTCTAGTGACCCATAACCCATAAACATGTTCTGGTTGTATAATTAAAAAAAAAAACATGAGAAGCTTGAGGATCATCCATTTTGAAAAATCACAGTAAACAGAGCTGATGTTTTGGCAGGAAAGTCAACATACTTCCTAAACCCTACATGAAAGAATTATTTTGAAGCGGGGAAAGATTCCTCTGCAGGTCTCTTACTGGAGTCACATGGCTCTTTTAAAGTGCCTATTTTTGCATCTCCCATTGCCCTGTGAAACGCTGACACACAAAAATAATTTTCCAAAAACAATATAATTAAAAAACACTAAACAAAACAATTGTGTCTCTTTGAAGGAATTTAATAAGAAAGAGGAAATTTCGAAAAAGGGGGCGGCTTTTTCTGGCCACTTCTCCCTCTGGCGTTACTGCACGTCTCAGTCGCATTTGAAGCCGGCATGGATGAGGTCCAGACTCTGGAAGCAGGATGACTTTGTTGGAAGACACTGTGCATACTTCATCTCCTTCTGATGTGATTTAAACCACAAGTATTTAATTTGTTAAGTTACTGAGTGCTGTACAGGATATTCAAATAGCATCTGTACAGATGGAGGTTGGGGGGGCAGGACTGCCTGTTTCTGGAGTGCAAATCCCCCCCCCCCCCCCCCCGGCGACTGGCCCGGTCATCCCTGCCACTGAGGACAGCATTCGGAGTTGAAACGGCAATAACGACAGTCTGGTACTTAGGAATACATGAGATGTGATGGGAATTGTAGCGCCCATCTTACAATAACTACAGCAGGCTGACATTCTCCCATTACGCTGTCGAGGGTGTACGGTGTCCCGCTGCATAATTCATCTGTGCTTATGTCAGCCACTCATATAGCAACCTCAGGGGAGGCATACTTTCTCAAGATGTTCGGTGCCCTGCAATGGGTTGGCGCCCCAACCTGGATTATTCCCTGTCTTGTGTCTGTAACCCCCAGGACAGGACAGGCTCCAGACCCCCTGCTACCCTGAATAGCATAAGTGGTTACAAAAAATAGATGGATGGATGGATGGATGGATGGATGGATGGATGGATGGATGGATGGAAGATGTTCGGTTACTCTTAATTTTAATCACAAACCATAACCACAACTCCCAATACAGCACTGGAGACCTACTGGTGATGTCTAAAAATGTCGCCTCTCCAATCCTTTCCAATAACCATGTGTATTAGATCCTTCACAGTTCCCAAATTCTGTATAAAAGTTTCTCTTGTGTTTCCCTGGCTGAAATCCCAGCCTGCGTGGAGGAGGAAGTATCCCCCTGCCCCCTGGGATCCCTCGTACTCGTTGTCCAGTTCTGGGGTCATCTTCAGCACCTTAAACTGCTGCTCCATGAGGCTTGCACAGCCATGCAATGTAGTGGTACTGATGTGTGTTCCACAGGCAGCAAAGCCACATTACCGATTGTGAGCATGTTTCAAACATTTCGGCTTAAATGCATGTGAATGGGTCACCTGGAGCCAGTTTCAGGTAGCACGGGGGTAAATGGGCCCAAAGCAGACCAAGAGGCGAAGTGAGAGGGGGCCAAAGGGTGTGGGGAAGAGGGTCTGAAAGGGCACGAGGCAGAATGGGAGGTAGAGGATGGGGCAGAATGTGAGGCAGGGCACGAGGCAGAATGTGAAGCAAGGCGCGAGGCAGGACATGTGGCAGGGTGCAGGGAAGAGCATAAGGTAGGGTGTGAGGCAGTGACAGAGGCAGGACGTGAAGCCGGGTGGGCATGACATAGAATATGAAGCAGAGCGTGAGACAAAGAGAGAGGCAGATTGTGAGGCAGGGTGTGAAGCAGAGCTTCAGGCAGGATGTGAGGCAGGATATGAGGGAGGATGTGAGGGAGGATGTGAGGCAGGGAGTGAAAGCAGAGCTTCAGGCAGGATGTGAGGCAAGGCGTGAGTAGGGGCGCGAGGGAGTACTCCTTCTTGAAGGTTCCATGGAATTCTTGAGCTGAACTGTGATAAATTCACACAGAGATGTCCTGATAAAATGGCCTGCCAGTTTCCAGCAGCCAGACATAGGCTTTCAATGCTGAATTCACTGGAACAAAGACTTTTATCCTGAAAATAAACAACCAAATGAAAATGGAGGTTGAGTATAAAGAGAGACAGCTCTGCCATCCAGTGAATCCAAAAATACAAAGCACACCTTCGGCATTGATCTCAGCAATGAATCTCATAAAGTTTATTTA